CAAGAAATGAAAGAAAAATCAGGAGTGCTTCCAAAAACGATAACCAGTCGTTTTCCTAGTTCCAGATTGCAAAAATTATTCAGTCAGATTGCAGCTACAAGATATCCTTGAATTCTGGTGAAATGTGGTCGGTAGTCTGCCTTGTGTGTTGAAAATACTACTGAATTACTTTCACAGCAAATTTTCTTAGCTTCTAATTTAGACTTACAGGATCTACGAAAGTGACATGGACAGTTTTCCTAATTCTGGACTGGTTTAACCAGTTCCAGATCATGACAAAAACTTCTTCACAAATGAAAAGTAACTGCGCGTGAAATCCATTTTGCAGCCAGAACCATTATAACAAGCTGATATTCTAATGAAGAATTTCATAATTTAGAGAAAACTATTTCACAAACAAGAATACCAATGAACTAAAACGTAGGACTTGCGTAAATTTTGACTGACTTTTTCAGCTGTGCAGCAAGCAATCAACAACACTCTTCCCCATGCAGTACAGTTGACGAACCCATTACGTATACATTTCTCCTACGTCTGTGTAGTTGACTTTGCAATGTACACGTATTAATGCATGCAAATAATGAACGATCTGAAACTAGGACAAAGAATATGCATTCAGTTTTTGGTTAATTTTAAAACTAATGGAAACTTTACAACTCATTTTGATTAAACAGGTATCAGATGTAAACTGTTGAGTATGAGAAAGTATTTGGAATCACATGAGATGAGTGACCTATCGCCCTGTAAAGTTTTCTCGATTTTTGGGCTCTCGTGATTTTTGACAAAGTGTTGAAAACTGTCAAAATGCGGATTGGAACATTGGCAAGAATTTCTTTTCTAGAATTTTTCAGGGATCAAGTTTTGTACCGACAAGAAGCCCACATTTCACCTTCCAAGGAGAACTTGTCTTGGAATGTAGAACTGAAGAACAACACAACAGAGGTAAATGTAGGTTTTTATTTCGGACGATCCGGAACTAGGAAAAATCTAGAACTAGAAAATGACTGTACACGTAATCTCTCTTGAAAAAGCACTAAAATGGCACTTTATGCTAACCATGAATATATGTCATATAAAAAGACAGTCCATGTCCATCCCACCCTGTGCATAGTGGCAAATGCAAAGCTATCGCATGCAAATTGGCATGTTGACTGGCCATCGCACATGCATGACCAGTGCTGGCCATTCGGAAAATAACAGTGCACTTTCAATGAGTACATGTACGCTTATTCACACAGCAATTGACCAACTGACCAACTGTGATGATAGCATTTGCCAATTAACATTGCAGTACTTTGCTAGAAAGAATGCAAATGGATTTCTATTCATTGAAAGGGTACATATTCTGGTTACAGTGATGTTCAGAATTTTTATGAAAATTTAAATAAGGGGCCTGGGTGAAGGTGCCTTAGAAAAACCTAGCACAAATCAAACTAATTGGTGGAAAAATGACACAATAGCTGTGCACTGCTAAGATCATCATTTAGCTAACAATTTAACAAAAGAAGTAGTGTTTGCCATGAATGGTTTCATCTTAACATAAAAAAGATCTTGGGCTAGTAGAAATTATACTCACAGCTGTGAAGGCTGCGCATCCATGGTAATAGTTGTACCAATACCATCTGTTTGCAGCTCGAGCAGCCAGAATACAAGCCGAAATGAAATGTTGTATAGACCATATGATGTTGTTAATCAGGTCCTGAGAACAGAGGGAAAATAATCGTGATGAAAATACTCAGATTAAAGACTTATGATTATGTTGCCCTACAATTACACTGTACAGTTGATTCTCTGTAATAACACACAGTTATTCTGCAGTTATGGGGACAACACACCTGCTGAACAGTAGTTTGGTGGGGATAAATGAGTCAAAATGGGTCTCCACAATCCGGTCCAAACTTTCCTGAAAAGGACATCGTCCCCTCAATGTGAGGTTGACGAGGACAGGATATCTCATCCTTTCAAAGTGCAAATAGGCTAGGACTACATGTCCCTGTTTGAAATTACTCAATTTAGGCAGAAAAGATGAGCACTTGAATCTCTATACCTCAGCAGTGCTTGAGGTATCAGGTCGTACATCAAGGGAGAGTTTTCTGAAGTCACTTGCAGCCAGAAATGAAGCTGAGCGATTTAAATGTTTATCTTTAAAGTTTAGGCTATGGCATTAAGGTCTAAAAGAAAAAAACAGAGAAAGAATGGGTAAAGTAAAAAAATGACACAGAAATCCCTAAGTTCCTTGGGAAAACCTTGGCATTTTGCTACTGCTAAGTGCTTTTGCCGCCCTCCCCCCACCCTGAAAGTCCTCCGCCTTACCCCATTCACACCAGGGGACCATAACCTTAGCTGAAATGTCTCTTTAGAAACTGGCAAGGCAGTGGCAGCCCCATTTTTGAACTGGGAAGGCATGCCCCCCCCCACACTTTTAGCAGGTCCCATGATGGAGCAGGATGTAATGGATTACTCTATTAATGGCCAATGCCTCATGGTGTCATAACTACCCTCACTTTGCAAACTGTTCTGCCATTGTCGTCCTAAGCAGAATTTTACTGTTACAACCACATACAAGTTACTATGAATGTGGTTCCATCAACAAGGCCAATCTCAGCTTAAAGTGGTCTGGATTTTTTCCCGCCTTATTTACTCCAACTTCCAAAGATGTTCCCATGGACTCCAAAGAGGTACATTGCTCAAAACATTGATTTGCAAATCTCCCCCCCTCCTAGGCATGGCTACACAGTGGTTTCACCCCCCTACACACACACACACCCACACAC